TCCGATCAAATCATTTTCAAATGATCAGATTAGGGTGGAAAAGAACAAATTTAACCTTAGACAACAACACAAGTGACTTTCTAAATTCTAAATCCTGAGGTAAAAGAGGCCCTTCTAACTGCAGGGGCCCTGGAAAACAAAATGTTTAAAGCTCTCCTGCAGCAGTAAGACAAAGCCACAGAAACATGGAGTTTGAGCCAGAGAATAAGGGCTAAATGAATGATTGTAGGTTTATTTTTATGTCTTTCAGTGGCACGACTACAAGAGTGTTATAAAATAATTCATGTCCTGTGACTGTATTGCTGGTAAACAACTCAGCCACATTCAGCCCTTCTGAATAATTCAGACCAGTGAATGCACGAAAGTGATGATTAAACTGCTTATTTTTGCCGCCAAACACTCAGTGACATCAGTGCCTGAACTCCACTATACCTGTGAAGGTCCGGAGGTGCCATCAAGCCATCAGCAGGACATCCTCTACATCTCAGAAGTTGGTCACAGTCTACATAATTCAAAGGCCAAGTGAACACTTCAGACTCACTGCAAACTATTTTTGCAATGTGGCACGGCACAACAGCACTGTCATCAGGGCACACGGGTCCAATTAAAGGTCTGCCATTCCTTACAGGAACAGAGACCACCTGTCGCATTTCATGGCTGAGTTTTAATCTAACATCATCCATGTGGAGAAACGATGGAGCTGCAGCTGCCTAGGTCAAATCTTTACAATAACATCACGTATGATCAGCGAGCACCCACTATGGCCACATCAAACTGTAGCTGAGGTTCAGCCTTTTTCATAAAGGGTTGACTCAAAAAGATCAGCTATAGGTGTACAACCAACCAGCTGAACTAAAGACCACATCTGGGTTTGCAATGTACATCTCTAAGGTCTTGGCTGAAAGAAAACCAAAATGGTACCCAATTGTAGCTATCAGTGGTTTAATGTCTGAATGATAGACGTAGTGTGGGTCTTTGTGTTTTTAATGCAGTCTAGAAAAGCCCATCCTGGGACAGTACAAATTTGGTAGGTTTGCTGGTTTGACAATTAAAATTGCGCCCACATTTTCTAAGTTAACACATTTCTTTTAACAATGGTAGTTTCTGCTTCAGCCCCCTCCCCGTGCGCAGCGGCCGCAAACTCACTGATGCGCCTGCAGCCTCTCGGAGTTCCTGCTGCTCTAAACATTAAAGTAATTATTTCATTTTCTGTTCCTCACTTCTGATTACCTTCAATGGTGTCTGTTTGTTGCAACCACCAGGTACAAAAACTAACTTGTTTTTATTTGACTATTTTTCTGTCCTGCCTGTTTATTATCTTCCTGCATCTCCTCTCAATCCTAAAGAAAAACTGCTACCTGGGTTCATACTAGGGCTGGGCGATATGGCAAAAATAGAATATCACGATTTTTCCAATATTTTATCACGATTTCGATTTATCACGATTTTTTATCCATGAATAGCATAACTTCAATTGCGTATTAAAGAAGAGAAACATTGAATAAATAAACATTTATTCATATTAGGGATAATCAACACAGTGCTAACACACTTATATTTTAAACTCACACCAGAGATGATAAAAGCCCTGAGAGAAACAATTACAAAAATCAGTTTTTCTTGTTTTTCAAGTAACTTAACATAAATTAAAATCGTAAACATATTAAGGCTGTCGCGGTTGAGGAATTCCCCCTGCGCTGATTCAGGGTGGCTTAATATTGCGGTGTGCGATATTATTGCAGCCCTTTTTTTATTGCAGTACTATCTAAACATAATGTTTACACATTTAAAAAAGGTTAAAAATTGCCGTGCCTTCTTTTATAACACTTTACTGAATGCAGATCAAAGGGCAGTAACAACACAGATCGCAGTAACGTTTGTTTCTCCGACAGTCGGAGTCCGACTGAACTTAAAAACAACAAAATTCAGGAGAAGGTTAAACTTTTAAATGCAAATGTGGCTGCAGCATCTAACAAATAAGAAATAAGTCCCCATTTTGTTTAGTTGTTTAAAATCAAGCATAAAAAATTACATGTACCGGGCGTGGGGCACTATCATTTCACTTTCACTTTCACACACATGAATGACGGTGATTTATAGCTCGGTCACGTCCTTGTTACCCACAAGGAAAACCAGCATGTTAACCATATACGGTTTGAGAGAGGATCTGAGAGGGGTGGCAACATTTCCAGCAACACTGAAAACCCTCTCCGATGGTGCGCTCGTTGCACTAAAGGTTGGTTTATGCTTGACGCGTCCGCGAGGTCCGCACGGCTCCGCGCGGAAAAGTACTTGCGTGCGACTGGCGAGCAAAGGGAATCTCTCCCGGTTGTTGCTCCACCATGTCCGGGGGTTTTCTTTAGGGTGGATGCATTCCTCCTGCAGGTAGCGAGTGAGCTCCAGCTCGGCTCAAACTATCTTCAGGACGGTTGCAGAAGCAGTGCTTGTCCGGGACTTCAGCAGGTCTCCGAGCGTTTATTTATTTTTTATTTTTTTTGCCGCTGGTGGCAGCTCTGTCTCGGCCAAGGACCCTGGCTGCGCAGCAGCTGACGTACTGAAAACCAAAGTGCTCCCAAAGGAGGGAAGTAACGTTTCGTTTTGATACCAGTGCAGCCATCCTTCTCAACATGCATCATTGAGTTGAATCACGTTCAGTAATCGCGGTGGCCCATGATGCAGTGTGGTGGGTTTCTTCATATTGCGATATTTCATTTTTGCGGTTACCGTGACAGCCCTAAAACATATTTAAAGTGCAAACATGTCAATTGCAAACGTATTGTGCAAACATTAACTTGTTCAAAATACTATGTAGCTCCCAGTTGCTCATGTAGTGGATAGTTAAGCTCAAATACGGCTCTGATGTGCGGCTGGACCAGAGATCGCTTGTGGTAGCAAAAAACTGCGCATTCTGAATATTTTCTGCAACTCTCACTTTGCATTCAGCGTACATGCGTGGAATGGCTGTGTTCGAAAAATACTTGCGACTGGAAAACTCGTAGTGCGGATCCAATGTTTTTATCATTTTCTTAAATCCCACTCCTACTGTTCGCGCGGGACACAAATCTTTAACCAAGTGGTACGTCACTGCATCTGTCACGCTGTTCCATCGTCTGCTGTCTCTGTCGTAAGGAGTGAGTTTTGTGTGTGTTTCTGTTAGCGTTTGCTGCCTGGAAGAAGCACTAGCCGCTGCCACTGCAGGCTTTTTAGCTTTAGCTGCCAGCTGGCTCTCATTGTATTGTTTGGATGCCTTCTTTTCAAGTGATTAAACAAGTCTGTGGTGTTGCCATCACTTGCCTTGACGCTCTCCTTGCAAACTTTGCAAATGACGTTTCGCTGCTCTTTGTCATCTGGTGAAAAACCAAACCAGTTCCATATGATGAACGAGGCGTTCCTCTTCGGAACGAAAACCTTGTTGTCGCTCTCAGCCGCGGCCGAAGCCATGTTTGTTTACACACAGGTGAGAACAAGCAGGGCACTAATATATTACTATGACTCACTCTGATTGGTTAAGGGTCAAACAAAGGCGTGTCATTCGCCTGAGGTAAGTTCCCTTTTCATTCAGAGGCAGAATTTCAACAGCAGAGCTGTGAATCGTGATAAAAAGGTCTCTCAAAAATAACAGACCGTCAGATGTGTAGATCGTAAAACGGTCTAAAATCGTCATATCGCCCAGCCCTAGTTCATATATATTCACCTTATGAGTTACCTTTGAACTGCAGTTCTAAAAGATCTACCGACCGCAGATACAGCGGAGTGCTTGCCGGCCGACTACAACGGGACCGTTTTTGCTGCGGAGTTCGTGCCGGAGCGGAGATAGTGGAATTTTGGGGGTGCGTCACCGGAGAACAAAACAGGTGATGTGCCTTGCTCCGCAGCAGCGAAACACATCAGGCACAAATAACAGACAGAAAACATGAAAGGAAATGAGCCGACATGAACGATCGCATGTTTAATTTGTTTTTGAGGTGGTGACACCTGATTTGGCGGTGCTCAGATGTGCGTTGACGTGCGCAGATGTCTGGAGCGCACGTCAACGGTCAGAGCTTTGCATGCGCAAACTGGTTAAGATTAGGATGGGGTGAGGGGAAGGTAAAATTGCAAGAGGGAAAAGGTCACAGTTTGGTTAAATGTCCATTTTACCGCCGCTGTCAGTACCGAAGCTCTGGCACAGCGCGTCGCCTCCGCCTCCCGACGCAGGGGCTCATCACCTGCTGGTGGACTGCATCTTGTCAGTCATTATCACGTGACAGCGACTAGTCGATGACAGGCATAAAAAGTCACTACAGAGCTGTGAAGTCGACTAGTCGACTAGTTCATACAACCCCTACTGTATAGCCATCTAATGACTTATATGAATTTGTAATCAGGCTGAATTAGTTCTGTTTTATACACAAAATGTGCTGTGAAATTGGAGCGGGCAGCCTTTCATGTCATTTGTTTTCCGTGTACGACTCTTGTCAGAATAAACGGCAAATCTCTTCATCTCTAAAGATGATCCATGTCACATGATCCTTCCACATTTACCCGCATAACGCAGAAGAGATGTGCTTACACCTTTGTTGCTACAGCTGTGTAAATTAAATAACTGCTGATACCCCCACACTGAACTAATGCGTTGCATCAGCTGCAACTAGTTTATGCTAAGTTGGACCGCAGTGTTAAATATGTGACTTGAACTGAACTGGATAGAATATAATGGATCTACTATGAAAGAGCATCTGTTTTTCAGCCCAAACTAGCAGAGCAGCAGCTGCACGTGCCACTGAGTGAACAACCAAGGCTTCCTGGTTAAGTTCTCCTCTCTGCCACGGGCCAAAGACACCAGAAGACAGAGACAACATGATTCAGTTATCTTGTGTTACAGGTCTGAACAAAAAAACCCACGGTTATAATTTCACTTTGGCTATTTTTTTTGTCTTTGATGACAGATGTGCAAAACATTCTACTACTCCATATCAAAGTTTGAATGCTGCAACATGCAAAGCATGTGTTACTTTTACCTTGAGGTCAAGGGCAGCAGCCATGTGCGCAGGGGTCCAGCCATCACCGTTAGCCTGGTTCAGCAGGGTAGCAGGCAGCACCTGGGTAGGTATGGTTTCGGAGGGGTCACCCTGAGCCGGGTGGCACAGTAGGAGATGAAGCGTGTCCACATGTCCTGACCGGACAGCAGCATGCAGCGCCGTACAGCCGTCCTGTGAAGAGGTAAAGGTTCTGATGGTGGTGTAGTTGGGTTCACCATTGTCCAAGTGTCATCCATCAAGGTCTGTTGGTGGTTCCAAGGTCTAGACATAGGTCAAGACGGGACCATGCTACTTGATATCAGACAATGTACATCCTTCCAGAGTTTCCAATTTAAACTAAAGTTGCACTTTAGCTCTTTATCATCCTGCTACTGAGTTGCTGTGTTAAAGCTCCTTGTTGTGCTTCTTTGGGTCTTAACGAATCGGGGAGTATTGTAATCTAGTTCTCATCTGTTTCAAACTCTGTGTGCATTTTAGGTGTTTTAACATGTTTTACTGTGACTGGTGGAATGAAGGTGCTTCATGACAGAGTAAATGGATGAAATGAAATGGTGTTGTTGACTGTAACTAGCTATAGCTGAAACAAACACATCTGTCAAGACCAATAGAGAAGTAAATCTGGACCGAGCCCAAACAGGGATGCTGACGTGCTTCAACTTCATGTCAACGTCAGCAAATCAGCTTACGACTAAAGGGCATTCGTGTGCAGTCCTGCAGACATGAGATGGTGAGACCAACGTCCTCTGTTGGTGTCATCCTCAGAGGACACCAGTCTCAGCAGAGGAGGTGTTACATGATGTTCTCTAAATGTGCTAACAAAAGAAAAAGCAATGTAGAGTTTTAGAAATGTTTACAACGGGTCTAGAACAAGTCAAAGCACAGTTGCTCCACCTGATGACCACTGTTACCAAGGTCCGGGCCTCTTATTGGCAGACATAAAAATGGGTCAGGGGTGAAAAAGGTAAAAGCACACACCAGGCTCTGCTGCTGAAAACACTAAAACCATAAAGAATCCTAAACTTACAATAAAAATGTTGGATGTTTATTTTACAGTTGCTGATAATAACAATAACTATAATAATAATAACAGATGCAGGAGGCAGTGGGCTAGATTAGGATTTAATGATAACTACCTCCCCTTCACTAACCAGCAAACTAACCCTTCCTTTGGGGATATTTGGACTTTTATTATCTCCTTAAGTCCACTGTGTCTCTGAGAAGAATGAAGCAAACAAGAAGAAAGCATCTTAAAAGATAAAGTTTCCTCCCAGTTTTCAATTAGTCATGAAGCAGAATAAAGTTCAGGAAGAACGTCTGCAGGCTGGCACTGCAAACTATATTATAATTTCTCTTTGACTATTCTGAGCGCTCATCTAACACCCCCCCCCCCCCCCCCCCCCCGCAGCAGAGCCCAACAAGACCCAAATACTGACCTGATGGACTTTCAGCCAGAGACCACATAGCCTACATTTTAGAGTTTCTTTGCCACCATGGATGAATGATAATGCTTCCACTGTGTTTCATTTGAGGTGCGTCTCATCTACACAGGAGACCAGCAGACAAGATGTGGCGGGTCGCGGGTCACCGGTTCTGACGGATTTTTTATATTTTTTTTCTACTGTTGGTGGTGTTGGGGCATCTTAAAAATCCTCTTGAATATTTCCCCTAGTGGATGATATTGAAACTGGTTAAACTGTAAAAGCCGGCCTCACCGTGTATGGAGCTCACATCACCAGATAGTTCACAGGGACTGTGGAGGACAGACACCTTTAGGGGCAGCTTGTCAAAAAAAAACTTAAAGCGTGGCTTTAATCACAATAACAAGGATGTTATGACAAAGCTAAAAGGAGGTCCATGACAGTGCAGACACCGCCCCCACAATAGAGGTGTGAATCTTCACTTGACTCCCGATTGGATTCGATTCGATATCCCGATGCATCACAATTATTTCATATTAGTTTGTTTTCATCAATAATAGAAGATGTCAGATAATAGCTATTTATTTTTATTTATTTATATATTTATTTTTAAATCAAAAACGTAAGTGACACAACCCGCCTTCCCTCAAAAGCTCTCCATTCCCAACAGGTTAGGACAAAACATTTAAACATTTAAGAAGATTTAACAAAGTAAAACAATCTGTTTCCTCATTCAACACCACGCCTCAGGCTGAGAAAAACACGCTTTGCAAAAACTCACAAAATCTAAAAAAGTACTGAAAACCTACAGGACACATAATGTAATAATAAAATACATAATGGGTTCATATAGGAGTGTTTAATGTCTCTGAGCAGCTCTAGAGTCAAATATGTATGCCGCAGTTGAAGGGTGTCAGAAATAACACCAAATGAAATGTTTGACTTAGTTTGTTTTTTATTTGAACCCAGTGGTTCATTTCTGAAATGTTGGAGAATGAATCAAGTTCTGTTTGATGCAGAAAATAATAAAACATCAAACAAATTCTACACTTTCAATAATATTTAAGATGTGTGTTTTACTCTTTCTGATAATAACACCAGCAGAAGGCTGTGGGCCTGTGGGTCATCACAACACTCGGTCTGACTGAGCGCTTCCAGGAGAAATAATAACTAAATTATGAAAATAATAACGCGTGTTTGGAGCGTCGGTTTGGAGGAGCGTCCTCCGATCCTCTCTCTTGTGTGAGCAGACAGTCTCCCTCTCCCTCTCTCTCTCTCTCTCTCTCAGTTGCTGTGTGAGCGAGCTGAGCAGGCTGCATGACAACCCACTCAGTCGGGCTGATTCGGTTCCGGTTCGGTCTCAGGTTACAACTCTAGGCTCAGCCCTGCAGTACCACATTAAGGCGAAGGTAAATGTGGAGAATACCGCTCTGACAGATCTGGATGCTGCGCTGGTGCCGCCGTTAAAAACATTCCACTATAACTGATTATGGCGTACTCTTCTACGATGCAGAATCGTTTATGTCCGCATCCCGATGCATCGATTATTTGATTATTGTCCTCAGCTCTACCCCACACCCCCTTAATATCAACATGACGTAATCTTTTGTAAAAAGCACATGAACACACCACATTAGCGCCACAGTCTGACCACTTATGAACAACCAAAGGCTCCCTGCTGCCAGTTCAGCTTTACTGCTAATTGGCAGCATTGTTTTATGAAAGAGGCTGGGCTGTCTCGGGTCACAAGTACCCTTCACCTCATCATTCTGATGTCACAGTGCCTAAACGTGTTTATTTTGTAAAAAACTAAGAAAACATTGTTGTGTTTAATCTGTTTATGGTTAAACCTTTTATACCCCTGATGTGGTTTGTTTACAAAGCGAATGGGATCCAATATTAATCCAACAAACCTACCAGTTTCATGCATCAGGTTTGAACCAAACACTGTAAAGTCACCAAGTTTAAGGTAAACAATAACTCTATAAAATCACAGCCCATGTAATAGTTCACTGTCAGAAGTTAGAAGTGGCCTATAAAGCACACCACCATTTGTTTGGGGTAAACTAGGTTTGCTTCACTAGCTTTTCTGGGCCTGCAACTTTATCTAGAAATCAGATTAGGACCTTTGAATGTTTGGTTTGGGAACTCCTATCTATAAAGTCTAAAGGATGCATGAAGACCTACAGTGAATCACATCAGCAGAAAAAGCTGACAGAAACGTCCAGATTCAAACTGAGCAGGCTAAATGAAGAACAAAGCCAGAAACTAAATATAGGAGGCTCGTCACATGTTCCCATGGCAACGTACAAGCTCCTATGGTTACCATGGAGACACAGGAAGCCTGTGCATCAATGGGCTCACACCATTCAACAACTGGACCCCTGAGAATACCCAAATCAGCAAGGCAAGTGTGAAACAGAGAAGAGTGCTACTAACAAGTGACAAAATGTGAGAATAAACAGAAATGAGTGACTTTACAAAGATCTCACAGAAACAAAACTAATCGGAAGACCTACTGGATTATATATTTAACACAGTCCTGACCTAGGAGACTTACTGCAGTGGCGAGTGAGCGATTGGCTCCGGCGTTTAGCAGGGCTCGGGAGGAGTCCAGACTTCCTGCCTCACAGGCCAGAAACAGGGAGGTCTGCCCTCCCACTGCCACCGAGTCCACAGCAGCTCCTGCAGCCAGCAGCACCTCCACGCAGCTGGAGGGAGAACACAACAAAACATGAACACACCTGAACCAGGATCTGAAACAATGCAGCTGGTCATCTACTGAAGCACCAGTTTCAGGCTAAAAGCTCTTTGAGAAAAACCTTGTTGGTACTAAAACGGTTCAGACCAAATCCTGACCATCTGTCCTGACTTTAATGCTTTAATTGACGGAACCACGCTTTTGATATAAAGATAGACATTTTATTCTGCTTCTGAAGCTACAACATGATTACAATCAGGCATTTAGAGCAGCAGCTCTATACATTTTCTCAGTAAAAGTTGAATTTAATACCAACAACATCAGACTCAGCTCAGCTGCGTCGTGGGAGTCGGTACCTAAGTCAGAGCATAATCCTAGAAAACATGGAAGTGTGTGACTAGTAGAGCAGATCGTCAGGAAGCTTTGAGTCTCGATCACCGAGAGCGTCATTAGGTAAGATGCATGTCTAAGTGTGAGTGTGGGAGGTTTGGGAGAGGGGTGAGGCGCGGGTGATCATTCCTCTCTATGAATAGCACAGTGATCAGATATTATACCAGAGATGAGTCCTCCATACCCAGAGCTCTTGGACAAACCAGAAGCAGCAAAATGTACACACAGATCTTTTATTACTTATAACAAAGGGCCTGCTGATGTTGGAGGATAAAAGATCCACACACATCAATTCAATAATTTATTTCACTCAAAGTTTAAATATACAAACTTCAAATTAGAATATAAGCATTCAAGTGAAATAGGGGGAGGAAGAAGAAAAAATCTTATATGACCTACCCCCTTTAACTAAGACAAGATAAATAACAAAGAGTACAAAATAGCCTTATACACAAAAAATAAACCGCTCTCTTACTTCCACAAATAATATCACTACTAAAACATTAATCCTCCATCCTCAACTCACCAAATCATACGATTTTAGCATTTTATCTTTATACATTTTTTAATTAATCATCCAGGTTATTTCATAATTTCACATCATATATTGAAATACACATTTGCTTAAATGTAGTACGAACAAATATTCTTTTAAACTCTGGTTTCTTTCTACTCTTATCATTTTTTGGGATCAAAACAAAGAACCTTTGTAGATTAGTTGGCAGTAACTTATTTCTAGCCTTAAACATAATTAGTAAAATTTTCAAGTTAACTAAGTCTTTGAATTTCATAATTTTAGATAGAACAAAATATTTGTTAGTATGTTCTCTCGGATTAGCTTTATGTAGAATTCGCAGAACTTTCTTCTGTAACAGAAACAAAGGATTAGTGTTTGTTTTATACGTATTGCCCCAAACCTCAATACAATAAGTTAAGTATGGTAAGATAAATGAGTAATATAATGTCTGAAGCGTTGAAATTTCTAGAAAACCTTTGACTTTGTTTAAAATTCCAATACTGTTGGATATTTTTTGTTTTATATATTTTATATGGGATTTCCAAGTAAGTTTATGGTCCAAGAGAACCCCTAAGAATCTGACTTCATTTACTCTATCAATTAAAAAACCATCAATAGACAACGTAACTAAATCATTAGTTTTTCTGTTACCAAAAACCATGAATTTTGTTTTATTCCAATTGAGAAATAATTTATTGTCATTAAACCACTTCTTAAGTTTAGACATTTCACAAACCATATTTTGAATAATAATTTCTAAATCATTTCCAGAACAAAATATATTCGTGTCATCAGCAATCAATATGAACTGTAATACTTTAGACAAATCACAAATGTCATTTATATATAGAATAAAAAGCTTAGGGCCCAACACTGACCCCTGTGGGACACCGTGTGTAATCTCTAGTGAATCTGAAATTTCATCATCTAACTGTACAAATTGATTTCTATTGGTCAAATAACTACTTAACCAGTCATGGGCGATTCCACGTATCCCGTAATCCCTCAGCTTGGAGAGTAAATTACTATGATCTATTGTGTCGAATGCCTGTTTTAAATCAATAAACAAACCCACTGTATATTGTTTTTTTTTCTATTGCTGATGAAAGTTCTTCATTTAATTCCAATAAAGCCAAGGATGAAGATTTATGTGATCGAAACATTTCTCATTTATTCCTGGTTAATAACAGCATGATTTCCATTGGAGACTTACCCAACTTCATCACCTTAATCATTCATCAGTGTACTGGACTTTGATGTCATTGTTATGCCATAACTCAAAAACGCGTGAACTCTAGAGCTCACAGAACAGAGATCCAGTTAGCATCTCTGAGACTTTATGCACCAGGATATAACTAACCGATCTGGTTTCAACACGGTTCTATGGTGAGTCAACTCGAACCTAAAGTTTAGAAAAACACAAGAGATTCCATCACGTCAACGCTAACGCTGTGTGTGTCCATCCAGCCGCTTCAAAAGAGTTAATGAAGTTCAGCGTCCACCAGAGATGGTACTCATCATCAGTGAGAGCTCCTCTAGAAGCAGAGTTTTGGTCTGGAGCATCCAGGTGTGTGTTAACAGAGTACGAAGAAATACATCTGTAAAGCAACTGTTTCATATTAATCTAGAACTGGTCAAAGGTCGTATTCAAACTATTTGGAGATCCTCAGTTTACAGAGAGAAAGATTATTTACGAGTGAAGAAATTTTAGGACAGGAGTGATCAGAGGTCAATGCTCAGAGAAATGACAATAAAATCTAAGCACAGACTCAGACTCTAAAGGTCTCATTCAAAAGGTTAAAGGTCATGACAAGATTATAGGACAATTAGAGGGTTTGCACGATCAAAAACAACATGGTGGCACAACTTTGGTTTGTAAACTTTCTTCTGGAAAAAAATAAATAAATTAAAAAAAGTCTGGAACTGATGAGACCAAAGAGATGTTTGTACATGATGCACAGCTCCTATTTTGGAGAAAACCAAACATAACATCAGCACAAACAGCTGGTTTGGGCTTCTAGAATCTGACATGAGTCCATCTTTGAATATTCTAGAACCTAGTGAAGACCAGATCTAGAGAAAAGTGCGCCAACTGGTCCTAACTTAAGCCAGTTGTAACTCTTACGTCTGACAGCTAAATCAGACATGGGGACTGAGGTTAGAGCTGAGTGCACCAACTCAGACTAGGGCCAGTCGCAGCTGCGCCTGGTTATATGCTGAGCGTTAACGAGGATACTTGCATTGCTGTGCTCGCTGCACAGCAGTGGATCGACTCAAGCACAGCAAGGATGAAAGAGGGAGGCAAATTTAAATAAATTTTAATAACACAAATAAAAATACGCTGTTGGGAAGATGCTCACGGCTGAAGGGCTTAAGCCTGAGTGGTGCACTCGTCTTAACAATGAGCTGGGCGTAACTTTCAAATCCACGTATGCCCAGCTAGTGCACTCCACCCCTGTACATAATGCCATGGTGGACTGTCCTGACTCAAGACGTCTTCACAACTACAAACTAAATCTTAGTAGAACTTCAGGAACCAGATCAACAATATTCATGGTTAACATATGCATAAACCCCTTATCACTTATAGGTAAATCAGTTTAGGGGGGTCAGCGAATACTCATGACACTATTCTTTGTGAAACGCTGAATGAGCTCACCTGCTGTGGCCGTGGGCAGCAGCTACATGTAAAGGTGTGAATCCATTTTCTTCTGAGACATCAGCAGGTAATCCTGAAGACAGCAGCAGCTTTAAACACTCTAGTGGAGAAAGTGACAGACACATTTTTAATAATACACAGGAATAAGCAGGTGCAGCACTTAGTAACTATTTACTATCATAATACTTGAGTGTATATAAAAAAATTTCTACCATTTACTGTTCTAGTCTTTTTAGATCTCAGAGCTGCTTTTGACACCGTCAATCACAATATTCTCTTGGAAAGGCTTGAGCATGTTAGGCTGGTTTAAGTCATATCTAACAGATTTCATTTAGTTAATGTACATGACTCAAGGGCAGGGATTCCTTAAGTGTGGTGCGTGCACCCCTGGTGGTGCTGCTAGGGAGCTGCTGCTAGGGGGTGCGTGAGGTGAAAAGTGTAATGGCTGCGGGAGCTTAAAGCGAGTCTGTCATATGTCACAGATGTAATCCAGCAGAACCATGGCCAACGGATGCAGAAGAGCGCATGAAAGAGTGACTGATTTTTAAAAATTTGGCTGAAATAGCACCTAACGAGATGCAGTGACAAAAACTTCCTCCGATCAGCCTTTCACCGAGCTGCGTCGCGGTGATTCAGACAGAGCGCTCAGAAGATTTAAGCAGGTGCTGGATGCAGAGATAAGACCCCGTGGTGGAACTCACTCCTCACCCCTGCCACATGGACCCAAGGGATAAATTATCAACCCAGCTCAATGGCCAACATTCCTCGTGGGGTCACACCCATTAGGACCGTGGGAGGGTTAAGTGGGCCAGTACGCCACAGTACTTAGCACCACCACTTCTATAAATATCTCTTTAGAGTACTACCACTTCTCAAAGGGCTGACAACGTTCTCATAAAGTGCTGGAACGCTCAACCGTGCATTTGTTTGAATCTTTTTGCAAGCTTCCCTCACAAAATTTCCAAACACTCCATCCACCTCTCATGCACGGATGAAGCGGGGGGCGCCGCCGCTTACTCCGAGTCCATGCAGCAGCGTTTACAGCGTTCGTGTGATGAACATGAAGGACAGGGGAGGAAGCAAATACCTTTGAAGTCTTGTGACAGGACAGATGTACGTTTTTTCGTACGTTCTTTTCATAGTTGTTTGTTTTGACTTTCCTTCATGTGGAAAAGACGCCTCCTCTGCATTTGTGGTGTGGGGGCTGGGGGGTGCGTCGACATGGTCGGGACATAGAAGGGGGTGCGCGGCTAATTAAGTTTGGGAGCCGCTGCTCTAGAGTTAGTTGTGGAGTTCCACAGGTTTCAGTGCTTGGACCAATTATTTTTACTATATGCAGTGCTCAGCATAATGAGTACACCCCACTATATTTGTCAGAAATCCTTTAGTTTCCTTTCAGAATCAACATTTTCTGTGAGATACCATAAATGTGGCCCATTGATTGCAAACAAGATTTGTGAATTTGAACATACAAAAAAGCAATTTGCCAAACAAATCCATTCAAGCCCACGTTGCAAAGACGAGTACACCCCAATTATAGTCTTAAAAGAAAAGCCACACTTAAGGACAACATAATTCTAAATCACAGGCATTAAACCACGAGTGACTCTTATGATTCATTTAAGAGGTGTCCAGCAGACAGGTGACTATAAAAAAGGCATTATTTAAAGAAATGTCCTTCTCATTTCATGCTGTGAGCAATGGCTCCACATGGAAGCGAAATGTCACAAAATCTGAGAAAGTAAATAATTTGTTTCCACAAAAAGGTGAGGGCTACAAGAAGATCAGCAAATCTTTACATAATCAGCCAGAATACTGTAGCATAAGTGATGCAAACATTTAAGAGAGAGGGAAGTGCAACCATCTTACAGGGATGTCCAGGTTGTCCACGGAAGTTAACATCTTGACAGGAGCGTTTTCTGATGAGAAGGGTTGAAGAACATCTCATTGCAAGTTCACTGCAGTTAGCTAAAGCAGTAGAAAGCCTAAATGAAGTGACTATTTCCTGTGACACCATACGGTGCACATTGCAGAAGAATGGCATGCATGGGTATCATCCACGAAGGAAGCCTCTCTTAAAACCCATGCACAAAAAAGCATGCCTAGGATTTGCTAGGGCCCATGCTGAATGAGATGGACTACTGGAACTCTATACTCTGGAGTACGGGTGCTCCGATTGATCAACCACAGATAATTATTGGCCGATTTTCATGCAAAAGTGTGTGATCTGTGATCGTCGATCACTGCCTTTCATTCCCGATCTGGCACTGGCGCTTACTCTTCCCGGCCGGTAGAGGCGCTGTAGTTCACACTTCTGCTTCCTCCCGCTTAGTGCGAATGCGCATGGCGGCAAACCCACAAAGACAAACATGTTTGCTGTGTGGAACTTCTTTACGGTGTGCGAGAGTGATATTAAGTTTGCGTCTTGCAACACTTGCAACGAAAACATACCCCGCGGAGGAAGCACGTCAAAAAAATTCAACACAACGAATTTGATCCGATATTTAAAGACTAAACACTTGGCGGAGCATGGTGAGTTTTTGAGGCTCACCACAGACAATGAAAAGAAGCCAGCTAATGCTAATGCAGCCACAGTCAGACAGCAGCTAACGCAGCCGACGCTTGGAAACACTCGCCCATATGAGCGTGACAGTCAAAAGGCTAAGCAAATTACCCGTAAAATCATCGAGTTTATTGGACTAGACGACCAGCCTTTTTCATTTGTGGAAGACGCCGGATTCCGCCGACTACTAACCCACCTGGAACCCCGCTACATGCTACCGGGACGTAAATATTTCGCCGACGTAGCCCTTACAGAGCTCCACCAAACAGTTTATTCTTTCATCGAGGAAACTCCTTAAAGAAAGCGTCTCATCCTCTGTGAGTTTCACAAGTGATATTTGGAGCTCAGATGTCAGTCCTGTGTCAATGCTGAGTTTAACAGCTCACTGGGTAGATGCAGACTTTCAACTTCAAAGAGCTGTTCTGCATGCCCAGGAGTTTTCCAGTTCCCATACTGCCCTAGCTTTAGCAGCTGCATTTGAACAAATGTTTCAAACATGGCATATTCCAAAAGATAGGGTACATGTGATTCTAAGAGACAATGCCAGAAACATGACGAAAGCTATGGCAGATGCTGGGTTTCCAAGTTTGGGGTGTATGGCACACACCCTGCAGCTGGCCATCCATGATGCAGTGCTGTCACAGCACAGCATAAGTGACATTATTGCCAAAGGGAGATGCATTGTGGGACACTTCAGGCACTCTTCTTTAGCATATGCAAGACTTCAGAGTGTACAAAAACAACTGGGACAGCCCACCAAAAGACTGCAGCAAGATGTCAGCACGAGGTGGAACAGCACCTATTGTATGCTCCGCAGCCTCTTGGAGCAAAAATGAGCTTTGGGCGTTTATGCTGCTGACTTTGAGCTACCTGCTACCTTTACATCTTCCCAGTGGGACCTGATTGAAAGCACAACACTACTCCTGGAACCCTTTGAAGAGCTGACTAAAGAAATATGCTCATCAACTGCATCTGCTGCTGATGTCATACCCTCTGTGCTGGTTTTAAAGCGCCTACTTGCCAAAGATGCTGCAGCAGATCATGGTGTGAAGACAACTAAGGCCACATTGCTGGAAGCTGTCTCCAAAAGATTGGCTGACATTGAAAAGGAGCCTCTCTACAGTTTGGCAACCATCATAGACCCAAGGTGAGAAAATTATAAAATAAATAATGCTGAAATGTAAGCATTTACTTATCCATAGTTAATTATTTTGTTTTCAAGTTGCCAGAAACTACGAGTTTAATAAGAAATGAATGTGATGTCCCCCCATCCCATTCTAGGTACAAAGACAAATTCTAGTCCGAAGACGCAGTCAAGATCGAGACAAAGAGACAGCTTCTTCGTCTGATCACAAAGGCCTCTCAGAGGAACCCAAACCAAGTAGCTGAAGCCAGCAACACAGGACCACATGTAGGGCTGGGCAATATGACGATTTTAGATCGTTTTACAATCTACACATCTGACGGTTTGTCATTTTTGAGAGACCTTTTTATCACGATTCACAGCTCTGCTGTTGAATTTCTGTGTCTGAATGAGAAGGGAACTTGCCTCAGGCGAATGACACACCTTCGTTTGACCTTAACCAATCAGAGTGATTCATGGTAATATATTAGTGCGCGCCCCACTTGTTTTCACCTGTGTGTGAACAAACATGGCATCGGCTGCGGCTGAGAGCAACAACGAGGTTTTCGTTCCAAAGAGAAACGCCTCGTCCATTATATGGAACTGGTTTGGTTTTTCACCAGACGACAAAGAGCAACATAATATCTTTTGCAAAGTTTGCAAGGAGAGTGTCAAAGTAAGTGATGGCAACACCACAAACTTGTTTAATCACTTGAAAAGAAGGCATCCAAACCATGCAAAATAGTTGGTATAAATGGGCTTTGTATACAACAAGAGAGATGACTCCTAATGACTGCATAGTGTGCGCTCAAGCACCTGGAAGGCTACCCGAGGTAGTTCCAGAAAAATATACTTCTAGTGAATGTGCCATTGCATGACGCACATGTAAGACTAGAGAGGAAATAGAGATCAATAAAAAGATTTCACCTCTTCTTAAGTTGCCATTGTGTGGACTTCAATGCAGATTGCTCCATAGTACACAAGATAAGTACAAATATGTTATAAAATATGCAGAATATAATATCCTAGATGAATGTGCCAAATTTGCAATCCAAACAGACCAAAATGGTCCTCCAACAGACTACAAAATTGATTATAGTGCTGATTATGAATGTTTTGCAAGTGGAGGTTTTGCTGACGATGGAGGAGTGGACGTAGGTAATACATCTGTCAACTGTAAAGTCACTTGGGTATTATCCTGGTTCCCGCATGCAAATATGACACCACTTCTAATTGACACCCCTGTTTAGTATGAAAACCCTGTAACTCTTAGTCAGGATTGTGAAGACATATCAATGACAATTCCTACTCTTGATCTACTAGGTGAACAAGACATTGCAGTTATTGGATGTGTGGTGGTTAGGGGTTGTATGAACTAGTCGACTAGTCGGCTTCACAGCTCTGTAGTGACTTT